CATTTCTAGTGGAAAAAAAGAATCATTATAAGCGTTAGAAAAAAGTTTAATTTTTTTTTTAAATATTCGTCGAGAAAAATATCGATTTTAAAATTATCATCGCTTAGCAGAAAATTGTATGTATTTGAGGAATAATTAATAAGTGTTATTAAACGGTTATTACACTCACCATAAGTTGGCTTGTGGCTGGGGCGGCCTTAGCGACGGTTTTGATGGCCTTGGCAGGTTGGACTTGTCCGACGACAACGATGTTCATGGTTACCTTTTCAGCGCCCATTTTTGATATTTGGTTTTGTTTTCGTGAAACGAAGTGAAGACTACAAACAGGAATAAAAAAATATAATAATAAAATTGACCGAATAGAAACTAAATTGTTTTCGTTCTCGTAAAATATATTATAAAAGTTGTGAGTACTCACCAAAGAATAAAATTGCACAAAAAGATGTGTTATGTCTGAACAGAGATCTCGAATCCGTATTTATACTGTTTTTAGCAGGAGATTAAAACGCGGGCGGCGAAGTGGCGTGATTAAATCTCGAACATACGCCACTTTGATTGGGTACCTACTTTTGTTTTAACAGTCTATCGCGTGATTAAATTATTATAACTCAAGCTCATGTTATCACAAAGACTGACTCAAATAATGATGTCGTTGCGCCGTAAAAAAAAAAAATATCGTATATTTCGTCTCTTTTGGTTTTTTCAACTTTTATGAAAACTAGTAGCGTAAATATTTGCCTTTTCATCTATTATTTTCTTTCGGGTTTTTACAATTATTAAGATAAACCATTAGAAAGTCAAAAATTTCAGTCAAGATTTCAGGTAGTAAAATTGTTCAAAAACAAAAAATAAAAATTTAATGAAAAAGAGCTGATATCAACCCGATACCACATCAGATCTTATTCTTCAAATTTCGATTAGACATATTTTTAAATTCCGTAATTTTTAGGATTTTCGTTAAAATTTTCATCTTAAATTGCATATGAAAAAAAAATAAAAGACGCACATGTCATGGTATATAAAAATAATTAAATAGGCATTGAATATTCTCTTTAATAATATTTGTTTTATGTTGTACCGATTTTCCTATATTACTTACTTTTATCTGGGTTTTCCCTTGTTTTTTCGGTTTTTCACATTTGTGAGAAAACTCCTGAGAAAAATGACTTCTTTAAAGAACCCCTCTTACACAGATTATCTTACGGAAAAGGTGCTAAACTAAAATATTGAAGCAAGACTTCTGGTAGAAATTTTAAATAAAAAAAAAGAAAACATCTTTGAAAAACCATAAGCTTTTTCGCTCCACTCTGAATCTAAATTATTATATAACTCTCAGTTTATTTTGTAGCAACTAAGTGCGTCATATAACGAACATAATTCAAACATCTCTGTTTAGTCCATTCATTTAATTCACAAAGTACATTTCAAATAAAAAAAATGGCAAAAAACTCCTGAAATTGATTAAATCAATAAATAGGTAAATAAAAGGCTCAAACGTTTTAAAAATTTTAACGATCCTAAACAATTCAATATAAACTTTAAAGTTTACAAATATTATTTTCTGAATTACACTCAAAAAACCCAATTTAAAAGAATAAAAGAATTATTTTCGTTAATCTTTCCGTTCATTTTGCGTATATCTCGTCTTTACTCAATTGTTATAAATTGTTGAAAGAAAATCAAAAACCGACTTTCTTGCTCACCAACTTGATAAAAAATTCAACAAAATGTATCTCTTGTTGTTGAGCTACGTTTCGATTCTAAAAGCACATTACATCGATAAATCAATAAATTCCCGACTACGTTCTGAGTCTTAAAGCACACGTCTCTCGCTACGATTAGAATCTAAAAAAAAATAATTTAAATGGTTACGATATTTCGTAATTACAGCATTTCATATGAAAAATTAACATTGATAAAAGACCCATTTAGCTCCACAACAATTTTAATAATTTGGAACAAAAATCACGGATATTAAAAATTTATACGGGATGATCAATCAAGACACTCAGTGTTCCAGAAAGTATTAATATTCTTATTTATTTTGTTTTCAAAATATTTAAGGAATAACCAGCTCTAAAATGTTACATCATTATTATTTTTTTCACCCTTATTTTCGGGAGTGAAACTACTATCTATTTTTGATATTTAAATGGCAACCTATATTAATAATTTCGTAAAAAGATAGAGAATAAAAATAAATTTTGGTNGGAATCAAAATTGTCAACACTTAAATTTTTTTTAAATTAATAATCCATCAATTAATGGAATTTTTAAAATCGGTTTTTTCGTTGGCAATGGTTTTTCATTGCTCACAGATATATTATATTAAATTTTCCCTCTACTACCTATCCAATTTCTCACCTACAACAGTGGCCCACTCCCGTGCGAAGTTGCCTGGCCTTTTGATAATGTGTTCGAATTAGTTTTTGGAATGTATTTAAATCACGCCATATTCGGTAGCTATACCATGTACCGTTTAATACAAAAGTAGCTACCTAAACAAAGTGACGTAAGCACCTACGTAGCCTGACGTGATGTATGAAGTTTAATCACGCCATTACGCCACCGCGGTTTAATCTCGTCAGACCAAAAACAGTATAAATACGGATTCAGGGTCTCTGTTCAGGCATAACACATCTTTTTGTGCAATTTTATTCTTTGGTGAGTACACACATCGTTATAATATACTTACGAGAACGAATACAATTTATTTTCTATTCGGTTAATTTTATTATTGTTTTTTTTTTTATTCCTGTTTGTAGTCTTCACTTCGTTTCACGAAAACAAAACCAAATATCAAAAATGGGCGCTGAAAAGGTATCCATGAACATCGTTGTCGTCGGACAAGTCCAATCTGCCAAGGCCATCAAAACCGTCGCCAAGGCCACCCCAGCCACCAGCCAATTGATGGTAAGTCTATTCACCATTACTGTTTTAATATTCATACTTATCAATTATTACTTAAACACGTTAATTTCTTGTCGTTTTTCATTAAAGCGATGGTAATAATGTATTTTATAATCGGCTTTTTTTTCGACAAGTACTTAAACAATTTTATTAAAAGATAAAAACCGTTTAACGTTTGTTTCATATATATTTTTCAAATATTCATTTAAACGATTTTCCCCTAGAATTACATTTTAGTAGGAATGATATTTTTTTGTAACCCGATGTCCATACAAGGTGTTTTAAATAAATTTTTGGTGAATTTAAAAAATGTCCCTAAATCTCTTTAATAATATCGTAAAATAAATGAATAACAAAATGTATTGGTAATCGAACATAATTCTCAAATTTATTAAGACAAGAATAATTTATCGAATTTTATATAATATTTCAACGTTTTGAATATTTTCTTTTTTCTTTTTCTTTGCATACTATTTTTGATAGGTACTTATACAGTAATTGGCAATTTATGAATATTATACCTAACTAACATAAATCTTCTTGTCTCATATGATTTATTTATTTATTTTGTTGTTTTTTTTCAGACCTGTTAATTTCATGTAGTTCATACATTGCAAACTCAAAAACGCCATAGTCCAAACAATGCGCATTATGTATATAATTAATAATATGTATAATATGTATTGACACCTCAAAATAAACCAGTCTACTCCGTTATTTCATGTTTTTTTTTAAATTTTTTTACTTGTTCATATTTCCATAGTACCTATTTTATAAATGCTGTGATAAATAAAAAATAGTGCAAAAGGGGCAGACATCACAAAAGGTTACATCAAAGTTATTTTAGGTGGCAATAGATAGAAGAATGAGAAAGGAAGATTGAGATAAGGAAAATAAAGTAAATGTGTGAATGTGATAGTTTCCTTTAAAATGTGGAAAGGGGGAATTTTCTATTAGCTTGAGGCGTAAAACTCTTGGATTCGTCATTGATTAGAGAACAATTTTTTTTATTACAATAACAATTAATTTATTCTAATAAGTACAGTTATTTATCGGTTCAGTAATATTGGCGCAAGTACTACGAAATAAGAAACATGGTAACATTAGTACCTTTGGCAAAACCAAAAATTACAAATAAATAAATCATTTTCGTCGTATCTTATTATGCACAAAAGTAATAGTAATACAAGTAAAACATTCACGGTTTTTCTTTTAAGTTTCCAAAATAATGTACAGTTTTAGTACGATTTATTATAGAGGTGGTAAAATTTAAATAAATAAACAAATTTCATATAAAATATGACTGTCATATTTTTGGGTTTTATTTTATCTATTAACAAACGGTATAAGTACATTCTCATAAATTACTAAATATCCTATCATAAATGTGTATATTTATATCATTAGGATTATGTTAATATAGACATATATAGTTTTACAATGTTTGTATGTTTCTTATTTTGTTAAACATTCTGTGTTCTATTAACTGATATTCCAATTAATTTCCAAGAAATTAAAGTTATCAGTGATATCCTCCTTCCTACATGAGACATTTGATCGGTTTAATTTAATTTTTCAGTCATTACCAATAATTAGAGTTAGTTACGTATTTTATATGAAACATAAAATAATATAAAGAAAAAGAAATTTCAAAATATTCACCGTTTTTTATTTTAATTTTCAAAAAAACGTGTAGGTTTAGTTTGATATATTTGATTTATTAACAAACTATATAGGTAGGTGCATTTATATAATTTACTTCAGATTTATGATATTCGGTAAACGCGTGAAGTTAGAGATATTTTACGACGAAGAAATAATAATAATAAAAAGTGATTAAATTTTTGAAATTGTGTTAAAAACACTCAAATGAGCGATGAATTAAGTCACGTGTAAAATTAAAATTTATGAATAGAAAGTTTTAAACATAGGGACATTGTAAAAGCGCATTAAACAAGTGTTTTAAACACTTCACTATCTTGTGCACGTCTTAGGCAATGCATGGTACTGAATGAAAAAAAAGAAAATTGAAAAATATTTAAACATGTATCTGTGTATTCCTGTTTTCATTCCGTACTTATTACAGTTAACCATTGTTGCCTGGTAATTAATTTTTCGACAACAAACTCAACTAATATAGTAGCTGTTTTTTTCTTCATCTGTGTCACCAAGGTAAATTACCAATAAATATTTCGAAACATAAAAAACCAAACGTCAATTACCATCAATTTTTAAAGAGTCGAGTTACAAAATTAACAAGTACTCTTATAATATAAAAAGTAATATTATCGGTTAGAACTAAATATTATAAAGTACCATACGTCCATACATCATATATATGATGCCACATTGTATCTACATAATATTTTGAAATTTTGACTATATTATAATATATTTAATGATATATTTAATATTTTAAACGTTTTAACAAAAATAATTATCGAAGCAAGTCAGTCCGTAATCGAAATCGAATATAACAAAAATGACCACTATTATAGCGTAAGTACAAAATATATAAAAATTAAATTAAAATATATCTATAGCCAGAGCATATTATGTACTCATAATACTATAAACCCGGAATAAGGAAAATCTTACGATAGATTGATCACCCCGTATAAATGAGGATTCCATACGCGATAACCCTCACAGTTCGTGTTAAGAGAACGACTATAAGTTTAGAAAGAAAAAACAATGCGTTTTGAAATAATCTAAGAGTATAAAATAGCTTACTAATTTGTGCATCGTAATATACGACGTCGAATATGTATTTATTCGTACTATTTTGGTTCAGCCAAAGTTACTAATGTTACCATGTTTGCTTTTTCGTATTACATTCGCCAATATTTCTGAGCCAACAGTAATTTATCTGTAGATAGTATGAAGAGTATATTTTATTGTAATCATAAAAAAATGTAACGTTTGATCTTTTATCAGTAGCGCATCTAAGATTTGTTTGTACAGGCGGATAGGTACTTTTTTTTTCACCGGGATATGTTTATTGGGGCCATGTATAAGTAGAGCTTATACAGATATAGAAAACAAAAAAGATCGCTTCGTTTGCAATACTTTTTTCAATCAAATCATATAATATACATAATATATATAATTATACTACACAATCAGTTTATTTTTAATTTTTTTTTTTATCTGTGGACAACTTTTCTCTCAGAGTTCTTGCTCCTATTTTTAAGGGTAGCAATTTTACGGTAATTATTTGACCATAATATGACATGTACACAAGATGATACATTTAAGTAGGTATACTCATTATCTCAAAAAGTATTAACTTTTTTCGAAATTTGTTTTCCAAAACACTTAAGAAACAAGCGGCTCTAATATACTACTTTTATGTTATTTTTTATCAATCTTATTTTCGGGGGTAAAACCACCACCTACTTTTGAATTTCGAATAGTGACCTAAAATTAAAAAATCCATAAAAGAATAGAGTATTAATCAAAAATAATTTTAGTGTTGAAATTTCTGATTACCGTAATTCAAGGTAATTGCCCACTTTGCACACTCCTAAATGTGCCACTATTTATTATTGTGTACAAATATGTATACATTTAAGTCTTCTCTATTAATTTCAGATTTTGGGAGGAGCGAGGAATATACCTATTCGTTTTAAAATGATGGTTATTTTTTTTTTATGTGAACAACTTTTGTACATTTTCAAACAATTTTTTTTAAAGGAAATTTGACGAGGGTGGTACTTTTGAGAGATTTTCAAAATAAATTGGAAAAACAAGGAGAAAACTTAGGAAAAATGCAAGAAATTATTATTTTCAAATTGTAAATGTTACGACCTATCAAAACATGTATATCTGAACTCAGATCGGAATCGTTTTTCGTTAGCAAAGATTACAGATATACATTAAATTTCATCTTTACCTATCCGACTTTCGCCTACTGCACTTGGCCTATACATCGTGCCAAGTATATCCGTTTAATTTTTAAAAAACGTTAATGCAGGATTTTTTCAATAGATATTCAACATATATCTAGGTACTGATAATTTCAAATTATTGTTGAACATATTAACAACTTTTATTGGTATATGTTAATTTACCAGAACCTTTAATCAAATAGGTATTATACAAATATGAACAAATAAAAAAA